GGGTAAGACTCATGCCCCGCTCCGCTACAATCGCAAACCGCTCCGTGTAGTCCTTCAGGTCACCATTCCATTGCACTTTAGCCAACTCATATAGCGTTTCGCTCGGTGACATTGCCCTGTTAAACCGTTCCAAAAGCCGGTGCTTTACGGTCGCCCAGTCGCTTAGATCGATAGTTCGCTGTAGATACATCCAATACGTTAGAGCCGGCCCCACGAGATGGTCTATGAGCTCGGTTCCCCACTCACGCGGCTCCATTCCCTTCAGCGCGTACCGGCGCTCGATGCGCAGCAGAAAGGCCTGCATTGAGCTGCCGTCTTCTGGCGGGATGGGAGCCCTATCACCGGGTTCCGTGGTCGCCCCCATAACGGCCTTGAACGCACTCATAGCCGCATGGAATTGTTCCCACGAGGTGAAGGGCCATTCTGTTGGTGCAGCATTGGGCAGAGGAATCGCTTGTGTGGGCACCTCTTTGTGCCCGTGTGGCCGCTCTGCCACGGTGGGCTTAGGAGTCGCGTGGCGATGATGGGCGGGGGTCCCGCTGGGCATTCTGTTGACTGACATAGATGGAGTCTCCTGCGGAGTGGGGCCGATGAGCGAAGATTCCTAGGAGACAGTCTTTCAGACGTCGTATTTCATTTTCCAGGGTTGAAGAAAAAATTATTTCAGGAAGGAATCCCGGAACAGCCCCCAAATGTAGTGCACTGCGCCCGCAGCTGCGAATACGTGCTTTCAGTCCCTTGGGCAGGGTCTATAAACTGCACCCTACGCTAGTCCATTTCCTAGAAACTATAGCGATTGCAATTATGAGTACAATTCATGAGTTTTTCAAATCTGTCTGTCTGTTTCGCTCCCTCCTGGGAGCTCGCCTCCTAGTCCCTAAGGGAGGGAGGCTTGCTCTTGGCGCCGGCGCTGTCTCCAGCCCCAGTCTCCACGCAATTCCACGAATTCACGTGTGCATATAAAATATAATCACTTTCTCTTACTTTTTGTCTGGTAAGAGGGCCCTGTCTCCCTCCAGTCTTGCGACCCCTCGTAGGTCGCTGGCTAGCTATCCTCTCTAGAGCACTAATCAGCCCCATTGTAGTGTCTGTGCACTACATGGACTGGTGCCGGCGCTATCGCCAGCCCCAGTCTCCACACATTTTCAGGCACCTCTAACGTATGCATATTAATTCATAGACACATTGCCTTACTTTGATCCTAGTAGGAGGGTCCTGTCCTCCTGCAGTGTTGGGACCCCTTGTAGGTCGCTAGCTAGCTATCGTCTACAGGTCACCAGCAAGCCACATTGTAGTGCCTGTGCACTACACTAGGGGGTTTTATCTCGTTTCAGCTACCCGATCGGGGGAGAGCAGCAGAAGCAATAGCAGCAGCAAGAACAGAAACGGCAGCACCAGGAGAAATTTCGGAACGAATATATGGTGACAGTGTGCTATTATATAATCGTTTCGCCACAGAAAACAAGATAGTGATAAAATGAAAAATAGACGCTTTTTGTGTCCTCATTCGGTAAAAAGATATAAATCAATTTGTTCGGGCAAAACAATGGTTTTTGTGGCGTTCTAATTATCAAGGGTGCAATTACAGTCATCAGCAGTAACAACAACAGCAGCAGCTACGGTAGGAACAGCATCAACAGAATGCCGTTTACTTTGCGTTACGTTTTGCTGTGAGGAAGAGGAATTAAGATGTAAGCAAACGAACGTGCACAGATATTAGAAAAAATGAATGACTAAACAACCTGAAAGGCATACGAGCAGTAGAGAAGAGGGAAAAGCTAGACGGAAAAAGTTCACAGGCGGACAGACGAAAAGTTGGAACACACTTCTCTCGACTGAGGCAAGTGAACCGAAAAGCCAGTAGAGACGCACGCAAAGAAATTAGAACAGAAGCGAATAGCCACACAGAGAGAAGAAATATAATAGGGGAGGAAAAAGGGCAAACTGCTTAGGGGACGCAAGACAGGAACACTAGGTAGAAGTCTCCTTAGCTCAAATAACAAGAGCTTCGACGATTAGATCCTGAGACAGCCAAAAAAAGTAAGAAAGTTAAATTTCGGTTTTGGCACTCAAGATGGGGCATCAGCTTCTCATGGAAGAGACCCGTTTGGATATTAACATATCCACTAGGGAACACCGAATAGCAGTTGGCTTTGGCAGGACACGCCACAAATGCAGCCTCAATCTCAGATGAAAAGCTAGAACCATTGTACTAGGAAGCCCCACAAACAAATGTGCGAGGATTTAATAATTGAATTTGTTCATACTGGGGAGACCGTCCTGTGCTGCGCTGTTCACGTGGGGTGGTTCGGCTTTCGCCACATCAGGCATAATGCCACTGCTCCACGCTCGCGGACGAAACGTTACGAAACTTGTTTGGTATTCTCTTTTCAATGTGATGTAATGACTAATGCCACTATATAGTCAGCAGTCAGCAGACGCTGCTGTTGATTCTGCAAGCCGCACCTGCCGACTGCAGCTTGATGATCTGCTCCTGACCTGAGGTTAGGAGCAGAGGCATGCCAATAGTGGCCACGCATTGAAGGCCTCGTATATTATTTCCTTAGTGTCACAGTCTAATAATATCTGCTTAAACTTTAAATTAATGCAACATAGACTGCGGAAGTTTCGTCAGAATCGAGTGCCTGCGTTTCAGCCGTACCTTGAGTGGAGCGATGCATATCAGGGCAGACACACGAGGCAGAGCTAAATAAAGTGTGATCTTCATGACAGTGTATGGAAAGAAAGACCTTTTTCCAAGCATTGCTGCATTTCGTCGACCAAGATGTATCGCTGGCCCTGGGTCTGTTTCACCTTGATCGTTGCCGCTACGGAGAACCTGTTCTTCAAAGTAGAAGCTACGCATACTCGTACTGTGCAGGCCCAACACCCTGAAAATGAATCATATAAGCAGATGTGGAAGACTCCTTTAATTTTAGGGCGGAGTGGAAAGTCTTTTACACCTTTTTTCGCGAGCCTCATCTTCATCTTGGCAGCAGTAGCGGTCGGTTTTGTCGTAATGCAGTGTTATAAGTCCCTAAAAGCTCAATGGAGAGACAGAAACGGCGGAGGTCGTGGGCGGCGAATGTCGATAGATGACAATATACGTGACTCTGTAAGCTAGGCATTTCAAATTCCGGAAGCAAATCGCGGGATCAGTCCCATTCATTCCAGATTTTTCGTGGCGGGATCAAGCATCCCTGCCCTCCTTTTTCGTTTGCATTGAATATGGCACTCATGGTGTTTTTGGCGGCGCGATGCCGTAAAAACATATTTGGGCACGCAAAAAACACACGACGAGAGTGACATGAGACACTTTGGGCGTTTCGCATGGCTACCGACTTATCGTTCGGGACAAGCATTCGTCTAATTCTCCTTGGATCTCCATTTACATCTCATCAAGCACACGCTGTGAGGAACTGTTGTTTTCTTAATTTTGTATTGGTGGGCCGTGGATACCTGCTTTAGTCACTTTCAAGCGGAAATAAATGGTGTTACTCGAAAGGATTTTGGCTAACTGCAAATGCAGCAAGGCCGGTAGAATTCACACGGTGCGCCGTGGCGAAAGTAGCAGTACTATTTACAGATTCGAAGAATGCGAGCGCAACAAAATGTAACAACTGGGCTAAATTGTTTTCAGCTTCTAGGAAGCTCGTGTAGCCTGCACGAGGTTGCTGCGATGTATATCACTTTTGCGCGCTTTTCTTGACCCGAATGCACTTTTATCGTGCTGGTCTTTTGTTTCGGCCGCTGCCATACTGTTCATGTACTGAGCGTAGAGGCTGGCGATCATGTGTTTGAGCAAACAACAAAATGGACGACAGGCGGACGCGACTCCAGGGATGAAATTGAGTAATGCCGATTGAAGTTTCTTTCAGTAGACACAAATACGAGATGTTGGTTGACTTTGAACATTACACAGGGCATGCTTTCTGGCTCTGGAGGTGTGCTGTGGTGTACCAGGCAATTAGCTGACTTTTTGGTACGGATCGACCTACTGAGAACGACGTGGGATGAAGCATTTACAAATAGAACTACGGCACAAAATTGCAATGAAGGCTGAGAAATTACAATGAATGGCGAACTGTTCAGAAGCCGGCACAACGCACCCAGAGCGCATCCAGTTACTTAGGATGCCTCATCTGAAGAGCTGTTGAAGGTAACAATCGAAGGTGAAGTATGGGAAACTAGTGGCCCGCACTTTGCACAGTTGCAGTGTTCATAGATCTGAGGTTTCTACGGAAGCTCGTATGTGCATCAGGCGATGGGCCCAAAAGTTCGCAAAACTACGAAGACTCAGAAGACTCTGACACCTCCGAAAAAAAGAAACCATTCAAAAAATCACGAAATAAAACCTCAGAAAAAGTAGGAATTTCTCGAAGACACAATGAATGACTACCTATGCTGAAAGCGTCAGTCTATACGTTACCTACTGGTAGAGTTTCGATGTTATGGCAGATGTCTCTGCTCGGCGTTGCACGGTAGTGACACTAGTGACACGCTAAAGTGAAGCATCTAGTGCCACCCTGCTAAGCGTGTCGAGTCTTGGTAACGGGAAGAGTTGGAGGTCTGTGGAATTATGTGTTATGCAGTTCGACTTTCAAGGCACAACAGTGCTAGAAGTGTTGTACTTGTCGCGCCGTTGCCTAATACGTGCGGATGATATTTGATGCTGAGGGCGAAGGTGACGTGCAAACAAGGGACTCCAGCTGCCGTCCGATGAAGCTTGTTATGGACCACACGACTCATAACCGGCTTTCATTTTATTCAGTTTGAGTGCAAAGTAGAGATTCTACTAAATTTCGTTGTTCCGCTGGAGATGTCCACGTCTTTAGCCGTATACATGAAACAACACGCTGCTCACACGTTTGCGTATTTTCATAGTGGAATCGAAGTGAAGGCGAGCTCTCAACATGTTGGCCAAAACCACGTCCAGCGTCTATGTTGGCTTGAATGCCCAGCAAAACTTGTCTCTGAAAAGCTGCTACATGGAATAGTGAACGCGCCTGTGCTCAGACGCACCCCCATGGAAACACGTATTTAGACCCTGTATCCTTTCATCACATTCCGGCAAAGATACGTGATGGCTGTAGGTGTGGTTTCAGCCAATTACTGGTTTGGAACTTTGCGCTGCATGCACAGTGAATCTGTGAGATTTTAGTCGGGAACTCTTTTCTGTTTCTTCGTTTTGTTCGTTCGCGTGAAGGGTGCGCTGCAATACATATCGAGGCTTGCTTTATATCGGCTTTTAGGAGAGAATTTCCTGCCCGAGGAGGCTTCTCTGGGTGCGAACGCTTCCGATTGTAACAGCGATGTCTAGATGGAGACCATCAACTCCATCCTTGGCGCGTGCCTTGACGAAGTGTTCAAGGCAAACTGAGGCTCCACCGGCAAGCTGCAAACTGTTGTGGAAAAGCGGGTGCTTCTGAAGTGCAGAAATATACGTGCAAGCCTCCCGTACCACGTTATTACACCAGGTGCAGCACCTGCTAAACCGGCAAGTACAATCTTTTCTACGCAACAGTGTATACTTCAGCATAATGATTC